ATGAGAACATTCAGAACATTCAGAACCATCAGAACATTCAGAACCATGAGAACATTCAGAACCATCAGAACATTCAGAACCATCAGAACATTCAGAACCATCAGAGCACTCAGAACCTTCAGAACACTCAGAACCATGAGAACATTCAGAACCATGAGAACATTCAGAACCATGAGAACATTCAGAACCATCAGAACATTCAGAACCATCAAAACACTCAGAACCATGAGAACATTCAGAACCATGAGAACATTCAGAACTTTTAGGACCAGTGTTGTTCTGCAGACATGATATCACAGAACTCGGCTCCTCCTCGTTCTTTAGATGCACATCCCCGGTCACTCTGGTTACCGTGGTAACGAAGAAGCCGACCGCCTGTCCCGAGAAGGAGCCTCGAAGCCGCTGCACATGGAGGAGGACTGAGGAGTTCTGGTCCGGAACCTTCTTCCGTATGTTCTGTTGGTGTTCTGTTCATGTTATCGTCTAAATAAAGTTTAGTTTGTAAAGTTCTGCCTCGTTCTTCTACTTGATGCTTTACTTCTGGAGAACAAGCGAGACCCTGACCCAGGACAGACCATGATCCAGGAGAGACCCTGACCCAGGTGAGAGACTGACCCAGGTTATACTGTGACCTAGGAGAGACCCACATCCAGTAGAGAGTCTAAACTAGGGTGACCAGACGTCCCTGATTTTTGGTAACAGTCCCCGTTTTGGACGACCTGTCCCCGGCTATAGCTGTCTCAGAAAATGTCCTTGATTTGAGCGTTTAATGAATGAGAAAGAAAACGTTGCATGTAGACTGTTACTGTAGTCGAATGCAGCTGCTCGCAACAACCGCTGTTACTGCGGTAGCTGGTCGCGCCGGGGCTGCAGCGCTGACGTTATAGAAGAAGAAGAGCCGCTCGAGTTTGTCAACACCCATAGACATTAAAACGTAGACACCCCGTTGACTGGGTTGGCCCGCTGGTGTGATGCAACTGTGTGTCCGCCATACTGAAGGAGTGAAAGCTGCGCTGTGAACTGATACAAACAGGATTTAAATCACATTTTAACAGTGAATTTTACGTTAATGCCCCAGCTTATTTAATTCACACACACACTAAAGTTAATGGGAAACGGGTAACAGGATCTTGCTTGCCCGGTGCCCGCTGACAGAAGATGCAAAGAAGAGGGTAGACTACAAGAACCATTTGCGATTCAACCTCAGATATCGACAAAGTGGCATCATTCCCAAGAGCCTGGAATTGAAATCTTCGGTCAGCGGGCACCGGGCAAGCAAGATCCTTCAGAAGGCACAGACCCAGCTGCTGAATGAACGGGTGAGACAGACCAATTTTACTATTGAGGCCTTGAAGGCCAAAGAGGAGCACATTAAACAGAAACTAACAACGTGTCTAGATCAGACCACACTTCAGCAAGTGATGGACTGTACAGATCAGGCACGCTTAGCACAGCATGTCAAGTCCAAGACTCGACAACAAAACAAGTTTAACTTACTAATAACTCATCAACACCATCACTATTCCAATAACAACACATTCAGTGTAGGACAACACTCCAGTAGTCAATTACATGCCAGGGAGACAGAAAAGTGGGTGAAGAATTTATCTGACAGACAGCTCACCCAGCCAGAGACAGAGATTCTTGCCTGGGGACTGAATCATCATTCTCCCAGCAGACAAAGGAAGGTGCACAGTGAACCAGAAAGACTATCATGAGAAAGTTATGACACTCCTTAGTGACTTAACCACTTATGAACCTCTGAAAGAGATCCAGGAAGTGGTTACAAGAAGAAATTGATAGATTGCCTGAAAATTTTGGAGCAGGACAAGGCTATTGACCGTTTTCTGTACCACAGACTGTACCCAGGGGAGGCCACACCTAGTCTGTATGGTTTACCTAAAATCCACAAACAAGGTGTACCTTTAAGACCAATTGTTAGCATGATTAACTCTGTCACTTACAATGTTTCCAAATATCTGGC